TCCCCACTCTGTCTCTGGTGAAGCCTCTCACCGCCCCTGAGCCTCTGGCCTGCACCCCAGTTCTGTATGCACAAATAAATAAATCTTTAAAAAAAAAACAAAAAAACTTCAAATATAGTAAAATTAGGTATTTAAAGGAAGCTGAAATTAAACAATATCAATAAGAAATCAACTCAAGTTTTCTAATACGTTTTATGATAAAACAATGCAGAAATGGAGAAAACTTACTCTTTCATGTGCTGTGTCTCCATTCTCACAGCTGGTCTTCAAATTCTGCCAATTTGACAACTGTGATTTCAAATGACCAAGCTCCATCTGAAGATGTTCAACCATGGAAAGCAGATGCTGTTCTTCACTGACTCCACTAGAAATCCACAGGGGAGGTGAGGAGGAGGAAAGAAGTCATGGTATCACCAATTATGTATACTAAGATAAAAGCATTTGATGAACACATTTAGGTAAAATAGACCACATTTCTAGATAAGTTGATATGGCTAAAACAGCAATTCATCTCATATTAACATGAAAATTTAATGCCAGTTTCAAGTCAAAATCCTAAAGAGATTTTTTGCACCTTATTTTATTTATGTATACACAAATATGCACACCTTCTCAAGTAGGATATCTAACAAAATATTACAAATAGTGGTATCTTTCAGTGATAGGTGAAAGACCTCTCTTAAAAATATTTAATATTTACTCACTGTATCTTCTTAAAATTATAAGACAATGTCATCAATGATCATTATAAAGTTGCATATGAATTTTTCATGATAGTGGAAGGGGTAGCTGAACTAAAAAATGTATGGTTTCAGTAATTCTATTTTTATGTAGCATTTTATAATAAAATATTGTCATTATTATATTTGTTTATAGATGAGCATAGTTGCTTAGAAGCAACAATTCATATCTCAAAAAAGTATACTCCATGAAAAGCATTTTAGGGTCTGTACCTATTTAATGAAATAAAGCTCTGAAAGGAAAGCATTAATACCCCTTATAGAAGGAATATAAGATCTAATGTCATGATACGGATCCATACAAATACACGGAAGCTAGAGAGAAAGATCTGGAGTGACAGCATGTCTGTCTGCTCCCCATTCCACCTTGCTCCAATCCAGCCAAAGGAATTACTGGAAAAAAAAGCTAAAGGTTGTCACACTTAGACAAAGGTACACATAGTGTGAAGGGAGTATATGTGACAGAATTAAAGGTATGAAAAGTGATACAACTTTTAGCATATCAAGGAAAAAGAAACTCTACCACTTTAGAGGACTCACGGAAAGCAGGTAATGTGGAGAAGAAAACTAACTAGGGTAGTGAGGAAATAAACACTAAACTCCAGAAAGTGATGAGCAACTGTAAAGATGGCAAAAAGAAAAAAGAAAAAAAAAAAAAAGGCTCAGGGCAGGCACAGAACCACTGTATCCTGGCATGAGAAGGCTGGCAGTAGTGAGGAGGGAGGCCAGCTCCATTAATTTAGGTTATCTGCCCAATATAAAAGGGCTGCTCATTTCAGAAGGCAGGGGACCTGCCCACACTGGGTAGGCGACTGGGGAGGGGAAGCAGCACAGGTCTGAGCATTGACAACCATGGTGCCAGCTAAGTTCCAGGCACAGACACCCATCTGATACCATGCCATAAGTTCTTATTGGGGTCCCACTCATCTGTGTCCTGAGGGGTCCTCAAGGACACTTAGCTAGTGAGTCTTCTCTGGGTCAGAATAAAGGGCTTGACTGTTTTGGGTGTGGTTACCACACGTTCATACTGTGTAGAAATGAACAGTATATAACCAACCTTCAACCCTCTCCCACCACCTCATCTGGTGGCTCCAAAGGGTCACCCAAAAGATACGCAGCTGTGAATGCTGCCACCTGCAAAGACCTGTTAGGCCAGGTACACACACCAGTGTCCCCTCATTAACAACTGCAGCAGCTCCACATAACAAAAGGGAAACAGAAAACAAGATATTTAATTTGAAATTATCATACCTAACTGTTCTTAGCTTGATATCTTCTAATTCCTTCTGGATGGCCTAAAAAGTATAAGAAACAGCCTGTTTAAATATACAAGGTTATACACTACTTTTCATAAAATCATATACTTGATTAAATACACATACAAACACTCTCCCCCCACCCCCGCCCACCACACGCTTATATGGGAATTGTCCCCCCTTAATTCCAAGTCCAGACCTGTTTATTGGCTGGCAGGTGGGACATGGCTATTCTATTTTTCAAAGTAAACTTCAGAAGACACAATATGTATTCAGAAAGGCTGACAGGGCACATGAGAACAGCTTGATGGACTTTCAAAAACTGTTCCTATAACTAAACCCCAGGGCAAGAAGAGGAGGTTGCCATCATTTTTGGGAAATGTTTTTTAAATGTGGAAGGGTGAGGGAAAGGAAATGGCAACTTTACACATGAAGATATTATATACTGATATGATCTGTTCAAAGATACAGATGGCAACACACTGCACTAAGTTGAATGACTGTGTCTGTTCAAACAGTAACCCTGACAGAGGTCAGAATCATCAGAGCTTAAATACAGGCTAGAGCAAGTGCAAATTGAAATGAATGGTAGGCTCCTAGCAAGCGACTGGCCCTTCCAGTACCATGGAAACACCTGATGCACTATTGAACTGAATTCACAGATTCTAACACTCTCACAACACAGTAGCTGGTCTGAGAGCCCTACATAGTATCACATCTAACCCAGGTCAATTCTGTTTTTCTATTTAGTTCAACAATGATACCATATCTGATGACTGGCTCTGTGTGAAGCACTCATGAAACATAGAACCTGAATCCAAACTCTCCATAAATCCTGTCTTAGATTAGTGAAAACACGCTACCTCCTCCTCTGCCTTTACTAACATCTTATAATAACTTACTTCCCTACCAGAAAATTAATCAAAACATTCAGGTCCTCATTATCCCTCCAAAGACAACCTATTGCCTTTGGTGTAGGTTGTGATTCTGAGAAGCAAGGACTTTAGAATGGGGCATGGCCAGAGGTGGCCTTAACCTGGAGAGCCAGCCTCTTGCTTCTGCAGTCCCACTGACCCCTGGCTGACATCTGGGTTCAGGCTTTCTCCTCAATAAGTCACCTCAGAACAAGTGAGCCAGAAACATTTTTGAAACATTAAAGTAAAAAAGTAAACTATCAAGGGAAACAGGCACAGTCAGAAATCTTTTTAATTTTATAAGGGAAAGCAGCCAAAACCCTAAGAAAGCATTTTAAGGTTAGTAACTTGAAAACAGTAACTGCAGTTGACTTTCTTATTAAAAAATTCACTTTGTTGGGGATATAATTAATGGTCAAAAAATAATACCTCAGATTTTTCTGTCAGTTTTCTAAGAGTATCTTCCAAGTTTGAGATGCGCAGCTCATGTTCTTGCTGGAAAGTCATAAAATCAGCCTTGAAAAGGAAAATGGATGAATGATAAGAAAGTTATGCAACAAATAAACAAAAACCTAGCCAAGTTAGACCAATTTACTGATATCCCAAAATTAGAGACTTGGTCACAATCTGTGACACAGCAAGCATCCTAGAGGGAGTTATCTTCTGGTGGCTTATCTTCAGCTCTGAAATTTAGAGATCTTAAACCTCTGCTGAAATGCACAAGTAACTTTACTAATTATATATGAGTATTAATAAAGTCTTGTAATGACAGAAAATTTAATTGATTACTATTCATACAACAAATATTCACTAAGCACCCACTGTGTATGTATAGTGATTGAAAGAAAAAGAATTATTGATATTGATGCATAACACATCCATTCCCATCTCAGTCTATTCGTATGAAAAAAGTGAACACAAATATAAGAAACAAATGAACTAGAACATTTACCCAGAACACTTAGTAATACCATTCAGAACAGAGTTTATCACTTATCAAGTGGTTTATTATGCAATTAAATAAACAAGTTACTTTTCTGACATAGTGAGAGAAGTGCTCATCAAAAGCATCAATGATAAAGAAAATCAGCTTTTCAAACATAAGCTGACTGCTGGAAAGTAAGTTTAACATAATTCCTCTGAGATTTCTTCAGCAATTTTTAAAAGACAAAACTATAGCAAAAAAAGAGAATATACTCCCTAAGGAAGTCTCAAAAGAAATCTTTGCCAATTATATAATCAGAGGGCAATAATGGAGGTGAGGACAACATGGCCAAGGTATTGTGCATTCTGCAGGACTGAAATCCAGATCGGAGACAGAAACAGGATAATATGCTTATTATGGGTAATTTCATTTGTTAATTTATACCCCACATTATTCCAAAAAATAACCACAATGATTTGTAAAAATTTACATTAAAAATATGTTTAAAAAAGATAAACCTGAGTAAAAGATAAAGGTCATTTGGAAAGATGAACCCATGGGTGGATATGTGGAAAGCGTAGGCACTGAAGTCAGCTGTGAGTTTCCTCGCTGCCGACTCTCCCGGTCTCCAGCTGCTCAGCCCTACATCCCTGTGCCTGACCAAAGGTCCTAGGTTTGAGCTGTCCGATACTGTAGTCACCAGCCACATGTGTTGTTGAGCACTGAAATGTGGCTACTGCAATTGAGAAACTAAATTTTATTTAGTTGAAGTAAATTAAATTTATACAGCTACAGGTAACTAATGGCATGCTCTACTAGACAATGCAAATACACACACACACACACACACACAAATACATGTCAATAGCTCAGAGGAAAATGTGAATTATCAAGTAATTAAAATATTTAACCCTAGTGTGTTAAGAACCCTCCTGCTTCAGGAGAATTCCGTGCTGAATGAGGAATACCATCGTAATCATACCTGTATACAGGTAAATACTATGGAAGATGGTATAAGAGAATGGGTTAAATCTGTACTAAGTGAATCTAATTTTGAAAATGCACCCAGGCTGCATAAAACAGAAGGTAAACATTTTTTTCTTAACATTTGTTGATGAGAGGGTAAATGAGCCATAACTAAAGCTGCCAGCTCACTACTATCTTCTAATTTTTCACCCACATCATCTCTGCTGGAATGAGAATCTCTCAGGCTGCCTCAGCTAAGAAGTGTCTAACGCCGGTGTGCTTCCTAGTGTGACTCCTCTCAGCACAATGCTGCCTATTAGGAGAGGACTCAGTGAGCTGTCACCTCATGAATTCCAGCCGAGTTCTTTTTTGATCCAGATTTTTAAGCAGATTAGTTACAACTCTTCCTATTTCCCCTTATCTGCAAAGAAACAACAAAGTTCACCCTCTCCACCTACAAAGTTGTTAAATGGCCAGCTACGTTAATTGGATCATACTGAAACCATCTCAATTTTATGCCCGAGAAACTGAAAACAACAACAAAAAAACTATTGAGAAATCAGTGTAGCACACCAAATGTCTTTTGAACAGATAGGAAAACTTCAAGCATATTGATCCAGGCAACTATAAGCTCAAGGTCCCTTCATACTACCAGCATTATCACAGCAGAAAAAAAATAAACACGTGCCTCAGGCCACAGCAGGATCATAAAATTACTTTATTTAACAAATAATTCAATAATTAAAAGTACAACCACTCCTCACTGCAGTGCCTCTCCTGCTCCTTGTGCCCTAGAGGAGAACAAAACACTTAAGAACCTCTTAGCATTACCTTAGAGCTCAACAGTCCATCAGCATTAATTTCCTTTAGGTGCTGTCTCACCACATCTTTAACCAAGGACAGCGTGCCTTCACTACCGCTGTCCATCTGGTCCACCCGCATTTGTAATTTCTGAAGCAAAACTGTCAGTTCTCTAAGTTTCTCTTCATGGTTGTGACACTGTCCATACAAAGATGTCATCCGCCTTTCCACTTCACTCATGCGATGCCTGGTAAAAGTCTCATCATCACCCTAAAATGGAAAGAAATTCCGACAGCAACAAATGAGAAACTAGACCAAGACCTGAATAATCTTAAGCAAAAAATAAGTAAAAATACAAAACACAGTATTATGGTAAAATGCTAACTACAATGTACACAAATACAACTAAAGAGAAACAACAAATACTTTCATCTATTAGTGATTTTTTCTTGCACGACAGACAATGGGTGGTTTTATTTTTTTCTATTTTTCCAAAGTTGTTAATACTATGTTTTCAATTCAAATTTACTTAATAATGAGGTTACTTTAAATCTACATTATTTCAATTCAGAACATTTAAGAAGCTGTAAAACTTGCTTATTTGAGCTTTAAAAATATTTTCTAAAAATGTGTACCCAACTACCCTGTTCACTAATAGTAAGAAAATTTACTCTGAAGAATACATATTTACAATGCCAGGAATGAGAACTTTCTAAGTGATTACCTCTGGAGGCTGGCTCAGGTGAGAAGTGTCTGGTGTGAACATGTTCGTTAGGTCATCCACCCTCTGTGTTCTGTACAAGTCTGTCCAGTTTAACACAGGTAGGAATGAAAGGAAACCACTCTGGCCCCACAATGAAAGGCCTGCACCTTAAAGGAGAGAAAAATTGTGTACACATGAACTTACACTGCTTCTCAAAAGATATATAAAAGCTTCATTCTTTCACTAACTTACATATATATCCATACATATTAAAAAGGGTACTAAGACAAATTTTACATACCTAGTAAAAGTAATAGTGGAATGAGCAAGATCAGAAACTTGCAAATATTTCGAAGGCACCTAGAAATAAAAAAATAAACAGTAACTTGGAAAAAGTAAAAGGCAGGTTCTATATTCTATTTTACTACACTAGATAATTTTCTACAAAATGCCCCTCTCCCCATTTAAAAATGGAAGTCCACAGTACCAGAAATGCAGTTATATTTTATGTATAAGTAATATATACAACTACAAATGGTGTCTCTTGGGCCTACCTAGATCCATACCCATTTAATATTTAGGTGCCATGCTAGGAGCTACAGGATTCCAGAGCAGGAATCCAGGATTGGACACTAGTCCTGATCATACCCTTCTTAGTTGAGTAGCCTCAATACATTATTTCATCTCTGTATACTTCTGTATCTTTAAGAATGATATCTATCTCTCCTATCTCACAGGAGTGGTTTGAAATTGAACAAAAACCTGAAAGCATTTTGATAAATAAATGCAAGACATTAATAAACCAAACTACAAAAACCATTTAAACATAAGCTAAATCATCATGAAACAAAGCAAATATCCTGCATTTAGCCTCCCCCCAAAAAATCAGTTCTTTAAAATAGCAATTTGATGTGTTATCAGTTTTCTTACCTAGTAAGAAGAAATACATTCAGCCAAGAAATTAAAGTAACAAACTGGTACCATCCAATCCCTAGCCACCAGAATATTCCAGAGGCTGCCTTCCCTAAAAAAGAAAAAACCAAATATTCTAAGGAAATTTTTTTTAGGAAACCAAACTCCTAAATGCATTATTTTTGTAAAGGCCAAGCTAGAAGCACAAGGAAATTTACTAGCAGATATTTTGCAAGTATATTATGATGAAATTAGGAATGAAATATGTTAACATAATTTAGTTATTATAGCAGAAATACCCATACACTCAAACACAGAAACATAACACAGAAACCAGAGCAAACGTGATGCTGGCAGATGCACAGGACAAGAGGAAACACCAAATCCATGCATTCTCAATAACAGGAAAATCCAGCAGCTAGCCTTACACAAACTCCACACCAGAGAAACAAGAACATTCATGCAACTGCAAGTTATAGTATGTTAGTACTGTAAGGTATAAAGAATAAAACATGTTACATCATGAATAAAGTATACAACCCTAAAATGAAAATTTTACTTGGTGAAGTAAGTCATTTACGCAGAAGCTAGTAACCGCCCAAAGCCTTGGAGCAAATGTTAACACAGAAAGCCAGATAACCACCTGGAGCCAACATGGCCAACCAGAGAACTGACAGCATCGTCTTCGATACAGACCATCCCGCAGCTCCAATCCTTTGTAGTGTTTGCAGCAAGAGGTAACCTGTGATAGATTAGATGTGCAGGAGAGGCACACTCAGACACACACACCAGAATGCCAGCTTTCCATTTACAGCAGAAACTCACATTAGTACAGGCTACCAAAAATCCTCTCCTATTACTAAGTCAAGGGCCTCCTCACAAACAAAAATATTCAATTACTTTAAGTCCAAGCAAGATACTGAAAAAAGCTTAAGAAAACCCTGCTGCACATACGAATAGTTTTCATTCACCTTTCTCTGCATGAGATACTAGAAACGTAAAAAGTAAATCATCGGTCTTACGAAATCCAAAGTCTGGTTACTGGGAACTACCCTACACAGCTTTCTAGATCATGTTAGCAGAATTTATATTGAAAAAAAAAAAAAATACAATACTTTAAAACAAAATTCCATAGAAACAAACAGTTAACAAGCTCTAAGTGAGACAATGATAACACAGAAACCAAAATGACAGTTCTAACAGTTAATATTTTCTAGGGACGAAGTATTTTGGAATGTTTAATTATAGGGCCACTGGATGACTGACTGTAACAACAAGCTTTATATCAAATATCACATATTATATAAAGAAACTGTTTACGAAATAATTTTTTTCTTTTTTTAAGAGTAACTGTTGAAAGTTGTATTAGCGCTTGCCTGTTGATTCCTGAGACTATTTAGGAACATGACATGGCTGATATGCAAAGAAATAATAGTTGAAGAGCTTATTTTGAAAGTTATTGCTTTATGGTTAATAATAGTTGGGAAAACTATTTTTGAAGCTCAACTTTATTTTCAAAGTCACCTAAAAAAGGTACCTTTTTACCAAGAAGCTTACATGTGTAAAATGGAAAACTAAAGCTTTATGCACGCGTCTCCTTGTTGCACAGGTTTAGGGCACAGATAACATCACCAGAGCAACGAGGAGCAGTATATTTCCCAGGGTCAGGCAGCTTCATGTCGAGATAACACTCCCCAGAAGGGTGACCAGCCTTTTCTAAGCCTTTACTTTCACATAAATAAGCTATTTTTTGTACGTTTAATTTGTACTAAATATATTTACAAAGAAGTTTTTCAAGAGAGATAATGCCCATACATTCAAGTTAGTATCATTCCTCTGTCTTTAAGGAGCACTTGAATTCTAAATACAAATTAAACAAGGAACAAGCATATGTGAAGAATGTGATAAAACAAAGTATAATGGTGCAAGAGACAACCTGCATAAGAAAAGATGTGCCAAGTGGCCCCTGCTCCAAGTGCCTGTGAAGACTGCAGATAGATGGCCTTGTGTGTTTCAAGATGCTTCTGCCCCTTACAGTCATCGCCTGTGGATGGTGGTGATAAGCAGTTAATTTGACAGATTAATAAGCAAATCTTGTCAATCTCAACGGTGCACAGCAATGGCGGTTTGAAAAATTTAAAGACTGAATTATATTTTAAGAAAATTAAAAAAAAAAAAAAAAGCAAACAGTCTGGTGGTTATCCGCTTCTAATATGCAGGGATTAAAAACAGCTCTTCCAGCCTGTCTTAATTGGTGCAGGGCCTGTATTCATGTGATTCATTCATTCTCTATTATTAATAGCCTAATATTAATAGGGGAACAGGAATGTTCCTGTGGGGAACATCTCAAGACCCAAAGTTCCACATGTGAAATGAAGCCATACTTACACAACGACTCCCCATTCACACTGAGGTGGCCTTGCTCTCCGACAAACTCTTTTACATTCATTCTCCCACAGTAATTGGAATGAGCTGCAATACACGCAAAAGAGGCTTAGAAAAACTCAACAATGCCAAGTTCAAATGCTTCTCAGATTCCAATGAAGCCAGCTTGGTCAAGAGCATGCGAGGCTGACCACCTCCACTTTCAAGATAGTTGATGGCACAGACAATGCAGGTGATTATAGGTGACAGAGGTCTGCTTAATTTAGTTTGACCCATGTGGCTAAATACACCCAGTTAATACAACTCAAAGATGGGCCAGCTTAAAACTTTTCTGAAACATCATCATCAAACGCCATTCAAGTGAAATTGTTTTTGCTTTAAAAAGATAGTAAAAATCAAAACTTGCAAGTATGTTAACTGTATTTCAAAAGTGACTTAAAGATGTTTAAACATGGGTGAACTTTCAGAAAACTGAATTATACACAGAACACATTAAAACTTTCATAAGCTCCCTTCTAGAAAGGTCCAAAGAAAGCAGCCACAGAGAATCCGCATGGTAACCCAAAGAGAAGAAACATAAATCAAGCACCAATTGGAAAAGAAATGTTTTCTCCACCTCGAAAGCATTTATTTGGTGGAAAAGGGAGGAAAAAATTATTTAAATACCTTTTGATTCATGGCTTTCTGACTTATAGCTTTTTGAGTCACGATCTTTTGATTCATAACTTTTCAATTTGTAATTTTCTGATTCATAATTGAGCTTCATTAAAACCACTTGAAAAAGTTGAACTAAGAATGATGAAAAAGATGACGAAGTGTACTTGGCCAGCCACAAAATCCTATCCATGTAGAAAGATGCACCGCCTATCAAAAAACCGTGAACACAGTTACTTCTTCCCACAAAGCCAACATTTACTCCCCTGGTAAGTCAGACAGTTAAATTATTCATTTCAGGCAAAGAAGAATCAACATTTTAAGACAGACACCAGCAACAACTTGGAAGAGTCATAATGACAACGGATGGCAGTCTGCACACAATCCACGCCGACAGGCAGAGCTGCAAAAGCCACCAATATAGAACAGCTATCAACGCCAAGTCTTTCAACAGCAATCTACAAAACAGCCAGTGTATCAGGTCATTTCTCCCCAATATTGTTTTCATATGCACTGTATTTATATATTGCCAAGAAGTCACCCTCTTATCTGATTCTCCAGGCCTCCCACCCTCCCCTTACCCCTTTATTGCCTTGCTTGGAGAATTCACGACTTTTGCTGCAGCATTTAAAACAGGAAACAGAAAATGAACTGATCATTAGGAGGGAGAGTTAAGTTCAGCTGGAAACACAGAACTTGCTTCTAAGATTTAACTTTCCCACTTACTCTCCCAACTCAACAACACTTCAGTGATTTTAGAATACATAGCATAGGCCAGCTTGAACTAGTGAAGTCTGAGTTGGAGTGTCTTTAAAGAAATAATTAGAATTTTTTTCTCCCCAAATAACCTCAGTAAAGTAGTAAGTTATTTGCAAACTGGAACCTTGTCCCACAACAACATAAAACTGGAAGGCCCTCCCTGGTGGTGCAACAGGTTAAAGCTCAGAATTATGAAGCTAACTGCAGCCACTGAAGCATGAATTTGATCCCCTGCCAGGGAGCTGACCCACATGGCACAGCAGACCCCTCCTGACCTACCGACTGTTTCCCCCAGTACTGTATTTCACTTGATCTGCCAGTTCTGTTCCCCGCTCTGTCTCTGGTGAATCCTCTTACCTCCCTGACACCACTGGCTTGTACCCCAGTTCTTATATACATAAATAAATACATCTGTGAAATAAAACATCAAACTGGGGCTATCAGCCCTGAACATTAGTGACAAATTTGTTCCAAACTCTACATACTTTCTTCTTTGTTTTCATTGTAGTATATACTTTATTGATTGACAAAAATGGGGGGGGGGGAGAATCTCTTAAGAGATAATGTGTGGTCAGCTTCACTGATAATAAAAACAGTGAAATTCCATTTCCATCAAAGTAGCAAAAATGTTAAAGGAACTAAAATATAAAGAACTGGAAAGTGTATATAGAATGGGGACTCTCATGTTGCTATAATGGTGGGAAAATGTTAGTCTGTTTTTGAAAGTTAATTGGAAGAATTTATTTAAATTGAAATTGCACATAACCTTTGCTCTCTTTTACCAATTACTGATTTAGCAAGTGAAAATTATTTATGTAGAAGCTGATGGTCAAAACAGTTTTGAAAATATATTGACTGCTAGTTATGTTTTCTTCAGGAAGAGTAGCCTCAGGCAGTGTGTTCATCCTCAGTGCTGGTCTTTATTAGTCCCTTAGCTGCTGACGTGCTCACAGTTGCTTCTGCAGTCAAATGGACCTTGCACACCTCTTCAGTAACATTTTACTACATTGGGACTAGTTGGTTTGCCACACAGCTCCAAAGTCAGTTACTTCATCTGCCATAGGCAGTAGACATTTAGACCTTTATTTCTCTAAAGCTTAAGGCAGGCTCAGTAAGAAAAATTTGTTCTAAGTCAGCAAAACAACTGACAATTTTTCACAGAAATGACCTATCTTTTCTAAATTAATTTACACTTTCCTTGGAAGTGTTGCCTTTGGCAGGAAAGAGAATACAGAAAGTCTTTTTTCCTGTGAGCACTTCCAGTGAATCAAGCAAATCAGGCCAGTCTCTGGGCCCAATGAAAGGAGTGTACCTGGTATAGCTAAGTCTTCCATGTCTTCAACCTTCATGCTTCTTCTAAAGAATCTAATCCTCAAGGAAGAATGTAATCCATCCATTTGCACACATCTCATCAGCACCCTGCTTTGTTGAGCACTACTTAATGTCCTAAGGAAAAGACTTGTGGTCTTTTAAAGCCTTTTTGATATGAACCAGAAAATCATGTTTTGTCAAGAGTGCATGCAACTTGAAACTTCCGAAGGTTCGGATTTGAAAACCACAGGGTTCATGTGCGGTACAATCTTTAACTCGTCTAATCTTGACTCTAAGGTAAGATATGCATTGTACATAAGTAGATAGATACATGGAAATGCACACAAAGAAACACTGTCTTTAGTAATATACAAACAGAAAACACTTGATTCAAAGTCCATTTAGACACAGCTCATTTAACCTTACACCGGCATCAAAAAACTTAATCTTAACATATCAAAAAAGAATTGCAAAGCCACATACATACTATGATGACAATTAAATTGAAAACAAACTACATATTTCCATAGCTAGACAAAAGCAAAATTCAGGTTCTGGTTCACCACACTGTGAGTTATATACTTTAAAATGGTTAACTGATTAATGTTATGTTATAAGAATTTACACCTTATTTTAAAAATCAGGCTTCACATGGAACTACTCATAGCAATGGTTATTTCTTGAAGGGAAACTAAATAAGGATAGGGGACAGACTTACTTTATCTGTACTTTTTAAAGATTTCTCCAAGAGAATGTAAACAAACACAAACATAAAAAAATGTGTGTGTGAGGTCCCTCCCTGGTGATACAACAGGTTAAAAGCACAGCACTATGAAGTTATCGCAGCTACTGTAGCATGAGTTCGATCCCCAGCCAGGAACATGGCGTGGCAGACCTCTCCTGTCTTGCCCGCTGCTCCCCTCAGCAGTGTATTTCAATCTGCCTGTTCTGTTCTCCACTCTGTCTCTGATGAATCCGCTCACCCTCTGCACCTCTGGCCTGTACCCCAGTTCTGTATGCATAAATAAATCTTTTTTTTTTTTTTAAGATTTATTTATTTATTCATATAGAACTGGGGTACAGGCCAGAGATGCGGAGGGTGAGAGGATTCACCAGAGACAGAGTGGGGAGCAGAACAGGCAGATCGATGAAGTACACTGCTGAGGGGAGCAGTGGGCGGGTCAGGAGAGGTCTGCCTCGCCATGTGGATCTCCTCCAGGGCAGGCGGGAATCGAACTCATGCGGAAGTGGCTTTAGCTTCTTAGTGCAGTGCTTTAACCCGCTGCGCCACCAGGGAGGGCCCATAAATAAATCTTTAAAAAAAAAAAAAAAGTGTGTGTGAGAAAGTTAATTTATGCTTGAGAAAAGCTGTTCATATTTTAAGTAAATAAGGTTTATATAACAATCTATTCAATATGACAACTGTGCAATGGAAAAGCCTGAAGGCAAGGCTCAATGTGTGCATGCTGTTAGGAGTTTGTTTACCTGAGTGGTAGGCTATGAGTGATTTTAATTTTCTTCCTTAAGCATCTCTCTGATTTTCTAAAGTTCTCTCATAGACAGTTTGCTCTAATAATTAGAAATAGATTATCTTTGCAGGGTAACAAATTAGTATTGGCTCTATACTGTTACAATCTGAAGTGCAAGGATGGTAGAAACCCAAAGCAAGTAAAAATACAAGTTGTTTTCACCTCAAAAATACTCAAAATCAGTTTAGACAGGGACTACCAATGAATTTTTGGAGACTACTAACAAAATTACACCCGGAACTTACTGTGTAAGAATTACTCACATGAGCTGAGTTCAGGTACATGACAACATCCATATTATACCATTTTAAGTACATGTAATGTTTACTAGTGTAAGTTAGGAGGTTTCAGAAAAAATAATAAATGCTCCCATAGATGTTCAAGGGTCTGTAAGCATCAGCATTCCACCAAATAAAAGTTCATACAAAGTGCTTCACTCTAAGAATGTGATGTTCAACTTAACAATAGCAGACTTCAAAGCAAAGTCTCATAAACCTCTGTAATAAATAAGTCTTTGTACAGTTATGTTGACTTCTGTCAGGTGCTGAACTCTGAGCTCCCCCTGGTCAGTAAGCATGCAGTGGGCCAGGAGCATCTTCGGGGTCAATCACCCTAGAGATAAGACACCTGGGTACAGGTCTGAGCTCCATCACTTCCAGCAAGTTTGTAAGGTGGTTAAAGCCTATAAGCTAGTAAAGGCCTGGATGTCAATCTGTAGGCTAGTGAAAGCTCAGAGTGCCAGTCTTTGAGTACACTGAAGTTAGGTGCCAGTCTATAAATGGGACAGGGCTACTGTGAAGATTAGTGAGACAAGCATGCAGAACACAAGAAGTGGATGAGTGTCTGCAATGTTGGTTTCCACTTAAGGGGCGCTCAAGCAGGATGTAATCTAGAAAGTACTATAAAGGAAATGCCACCTCCTCTCCCACTTTTCTACATTACAATTTTGTTATACTAATACTAATAGTGTCAATTAATGCTATAGGAGACAAAGCCAGAAGAAGTTCTAGTCACAAGGATATAAAGTTAAAATGAAAATAAACCTTAGCACTGGTACCATCCTTCATTGTATCAAAACACACTGAAAAATATTAGCTGAGTGCCCCAGGTGCAAGGTACAGTCAGGAATACAGTGTGTAATGTGACACAACCCTGCCGTGCTGATGCCTTCTATCCCCACCTAGTCTAAGAGGCAAAGCAGGCCCGATGGTCCAGCCAAGATGACTAGCACTAGACAAGGTGTGAAGAAATCAAAAACAAGGTGAAACACTTTCAAATCAAATGTTCCCCCTAACTTCTCTGTGTCTTGGTGAGCAGTGTTTGAACCAGGAAGTCATGGAAGGTCATCTTGGTCATGCCATGGGACCTGGAAGGGGATCTGTAGCTAGGTTTTTCCTGGAGGCTCAGTAATAAGGACAATTCAGTACCACCTGAGCCAAGATCAGGCTCCTACAGGCCTACTTAGAAGAGCTTTAGCAGGCTCTCCTCATTCACCTCCAGAGCCCTATCTAAGGACCTCCATGTACAAGCAAGTTCAGTCAGGACTCTGAAGTCCACTTCTGCCAGTTAACAGGGCACCATGGCTCTGCAATGAGTCAACATCCCCAACAAAGCTAGTGCTCCACATTCCCCAACCCAGCCCCTGCACATTCCTGCATCACTATCCCCAAATTTGAAGTCCGCACACCCACTAATTCTCATGGCAACAATAGAGCCCACAGTAATGTTTTTCATTGTCAAAAACACCTCTGGTAGCAGAAGTCATAAAGTTACTCCTTAAGGTCATGTGAATGTGACAGTAAAAAAAAAAAAAAAAAAAAAAAGGAGGCACCTGAAAGGACCACACATTCATGTTTCATTCAATTGGGGTTTTCTTTTGCTTAACAAAGTTCAAATATATAGAATTTTAGACACCTCTAGGTTAAAAGTACTAACCACATAATATGGAAGTTGAAAGAGAAAGTAGAGGAACAAAAAATTAATTTTGGGAGAGCTTCTTCAACTTTTAAAGGATAATTTTGAGTTTAAGTCTATGATAGAAAGGTTGTAGAACCAGGTTTATAAAAGTAAATATTTGGGCATGAAATCTTCTAACTTAAAAAACTAAGACTTACGTTTTTGAGTTCTATCTCTGGAGTAAATTCTGGAGGCCAGTGGGGCATGGGGCGTGGCGTGCACGGTGAGTGTGTCCCTGCGCTCAGACAGCATGCTGCAGTCACTGCAGGTGTAGCCGTTGCTCTTTGTGGCTGCTGCCCCTGAGGCCAGATCACCATTTCCCTGATTGACAGCTTTATTTCCACCTAGTTTTAAAAAAGTAAGCAGAACCTGCTTATCACAACATGCTGATATATCTAACTAAAACTTCTAACTTGAAAGTTAGGAAGTTAGAAAGAATAATGACTAAATAATTACCTTTAAGATCTCCATCATCATCAAGACCTGAAAAACACACACACACACATTTTGTCTGTTGAGCTCAAATTATCATGCCAGAACAAAACCCGCACACACACAAAAACAAAGGTTACAGTGTTTAGTCAACCAGCATTACAGCACTGGTCAACATTTATTTTATAAACTGCCTATAATTTAATGAAAATTTCTCCAGATTATTCAGACACTATCTTATGATTCAAGGTGAAAATATGTCTTCAAAAACACTTATACACATGCACAAGTACACACACAAAGCTAAGGAGGCAGTCAGAGAATGAGGAGACAAGAAAAAAGCAGCAACAGCACCCACTTCCTCTGTTGCTTAGTGACTACTGCTTTTTGAGCAAAACAGACCAAATGTGAATTCCAACATTTCCCAAATTAGCACATATAAATTTTGGAACTAATCTGTATCTTCTAATTCTTTCAAAAGGGCCAATCAGAACATGAAGAGAACACAAGAAAACAGTTCTGTCAAAGCTGTCACTCCCCATGAGATGTTTTCAGCAGCAACAACAGGGGATCAATGTTCCTTCTTTAAGAAGAGTCAGCTTATAAACCACATCACTTCCTCCTTCAATCCATCTTTAACGGGTACTTTCCAATAAGTTAAAAAAAAAAAAAAACTATCTTGTTGTTTAGAGCTTTCTGGAATTTGAAATCACACTGGTCAATTTTTATAATGAGTTTGCTTAAACATCCTATGAAAGAAATGTATTTAGAAAAACAGTTGCCAGATTATTCCCTGACGCTAAACCTTCCCCTCACAACGCACAACTATATATAAGCACAGCCAAACAAGGCAGCAGTCAGGGCCAGGCTCCTGCACTTTTTATATGAGTTTAGGGAAAGCCTGGAAATTCCTGGATTCCTCCCAACCAGTCAGAAGCAAAAAGCAAAAAACCTGTCCATAACCTTCCTTTTTCTAGAACTATCTGAGAGATACAAGTTCTGAATCTCCTGTAACTCACCCCAGAAGTGGGCCACTTTGGTCTGCTCACGGATGAGAGACTCATCCAATACAGGAGGCCGCAGACATGCCTCAGCCTGCAGCCCGCCAGAGCTGCTCTGGCTGACAGCCGAGGACACTGCCCTCCTTGAGGTGTGGTTCATGCTGAAAGCCGATCTGCCTGTACCTCTGCGCTGTTTTGCTGTTCTAAAAAGAAAGGAATAAGAAACAACTTTATAAACTTATTCTAGTAAATACAAAATGATTCCATTTTATCAACATAAAATCTTTGAGGATAAATACAGTATCTTCAAGGTCACATTTCCTTACATCTTTTCTGCTATAACTAAACATCTATTCATTTTTAAAATGAATTCTTTAACTGGGGTCCAAGAACGCCTCCTAAAATTGCATGCAGATTTTTGGGCCCCATGACCTGAAAGTGGTTAAAGCCTAAAATAATCTGAGAATAAAAAATAATATAAATGTGAACAATTAATTATTTATAAATTTAATTTCTCCCCTTTTAAAAACAAGTTAATAGCTCATATATACATATCCTGTACTATTTCTCAATCTCTAGTAAAATGGAATCGCATTCAGTGTAAGGAGGCAAAGGTATAATCTGAAATCATTTCTGCATCTATAAATACCACAAATAACAAAAAGAAAGCTCTCAGAAACAAATATTTTATGAAAAATTCAGCATAAGTTCAGTCATGGGGACAGACAGGCAGGTGTAAGAGCCTTCCCTCTTCAAGCGCCTCATCACCCATCACTAAAGGACAAAACACCAGGATTTCTGTCCTATCTCACCACAAGTGGGGATCGCACACCAAGCTATACTTTGGACTTACTAAGTTCTAAAAGGATCTCCTTTCATGAACCTACTCCAGAGAAACTCCAGGGCTGAGGTGGAGGAATGTAGTTGTGTAAATAAACCCTGCAGTTGTTTGTCATTCGCAGAAACTATGGTAGGGGAACAGCTACTGACACCTGCCTGATATTGTCTAAGTGTGAGCACCCCCCCACTAGAAACCCCCCAACCCCATTTAATAGCCTCCATCCCATTCTTAAGAGAAAGACAACAGTTCAATTTTGGAAATTCATCATGTCTATGTGAGCAACAGAAAGTAAAGTTGCTACTTATTTCTAAATGACACAAAATTTCAGAAACCTCTGCTCCTTGGACACAAAAAGGGCGGTGAGCATATGGGGAATTCAGAAACCCAACAAACATAACAGACACCTGTATTTCACACAGGTATGACAGTTTATAAGGACTTTAATAACAGACTTGAACCAGTAACAACAGAGAGACACTCTACAATGTCATGTGATTATTGAGGGAAGGTGAGATTCCTTCCCTCAAACAACATTGGGTGGACAGCTGAAGTTTAATCCCTGTTACAAAGATGAATAAAGTTTTCTACACTGTGAATCTTGGCACTATATATAGAGCTGTGTCCACGTTACAAGGTGTCCACATCCCTCTCAAGGTTGCTCCTAAACAGAGAACTTGAAAACCTTAACTGTAGAATATCAGTATCAAATAATCCAAGGAATAGTTAACCCCTATTTATGGCAAAACTATGGCTTTTCACGCGCATCTGTGTTCAAGATAGTGTGGCTTTACAAATCGAAGATTTCATGTGTTTGGTTTTAACTGGCATTAGAATGAGGTATAATAAGAAGGAAGCAGCGCTCACCTGGTGACTCTGTCCTTGAGTGAGGTGGAGCTGCCAGCATGGGTATGAACATCCCTGGCCCGGCCATCCTCAGTGGAATATGCTGTGGTGGCCAGGCGCAGACTACGGCGAGACATTCTTGGAGAATCAAATACGGGATCCAATTTATGCTCGGTCTCAAAGTCCAGAGCATCAGAAGAATAACTAGAACTAGAAGGGGAAAAAACCTTATCAGAGAAATTATGCCTATAGCAGCACTTCTAAAACAACAATAGTGAACAGAATATATAATCTATCATGAATTTTAAAAAACAGCCATTATTTTGCGAAGAAGTAGGTTGGTACCCAAATCTGTGTAGGACTGGAACTCATTATACATATTCTACATGTTCTGACAAATGCAGATGTGAAGGCAGGTATTAAAGGCCAGAGTTTACCCTAAAAAGTGCTTTAGAACATGCCAAATTCTTGACAGTTCTTACACTATGACAACATTATAAAGAAGTCAAAATACACTTACTAAGCTACATCTATTTATTAAGTAACTGATAAAACAGCCAATGAGATATGTGATACGACATTTACTTTGACCACTGGAATGGTGTTAAATGAAAGCAATTTGAAGAGAAAAAGAAAAGTAATACTATTTCCAGTCTAATTTATCATAAAGTACAACAAAGTAAGACAATGCCTTCCCATTTTTTTCTTTAAAAAAGATTTATTTATTTATGCATGCAAGAGCTGGGGTACAGACCAGAGGTACAGGAGAGGGGGTATGTGTGTGTGTGTGTGTGAGAGAGAGAGAGAGAGAGAGAGAGAGAGTGTGTGTGTGTGTGTGTGTGTGTGTGAGAGAGAGAGAGAGAGAGAGAGAGAGAGAGAGAGAGAGAGAGAGAGAGGATTCACCAGAGACAGAGTGGGGAGCAGATCTGACAGATATACTGAAATAAACTGCAGAGGCTGAGAAAGGACAGTCATGTGGGTTACCTCCTTGGCTGGGGCTACAGTGGATGCTGAGACTTAAACCCTTGCACCATCAGGGAAGTCACATGTAATTATCTTAAACTAAAAGATGAATCCTTGTGTGCTGTTAGCAAGTTTTTCTAAATCAAGAAACATAAACACCTATTTTATATCTCTGCTGGGGTGGGAATCATACCCTTGATCTGACCAGATAGTCTGGGTACCCAAGTGGAACTAACTGCACCCCTTTCACTTAAGACACAAATGACTGGATACCCAGTGAGGTATCCAAACCCATGGAGAAGCACTCACAGTCCAACAGGAAGAAAATGGTGAGTACAAAGCACCAGAAGAAGAGGAAGGAATTACTCTTTTTTTCCCTTAAGGGAGAGGCATGTGTCCAGAGTGCTGACAGCTGAGTGTTTCCTGAAACACTGAGGTGAAACAAGCAGGCAGGAAGACAATATTGCAAATCCAAAATATAGAGGAACGACACCATGAAAAGAAGGCCTGGATGCAGAAGGGCTTTCATGGGTATTCTGAAGGCCCAGGAACACGAGGTAAAGGGAAAGGGTAATTTCAAAGATCACCTGTAGTTTACCCAGGGAGGGGAGGTGCAAGTCAGGAATCAGTATGGGCTAATGATGTGGAAACCAACAGTAGTCGTGAGTATTTAAATAACTTTAAGAATATTTCTGCATTACAGTTTATATTTAAAAATACTTTCAGAATCTAATCATAAACTTATTAGATCTAACACTAAAACATACTCTCACATGACTGAGAATGGCCCATGTCAAAAACACCAGAAACAAGTATTGTCAAGAGTGTAGAGAAAAAGAACTCTATTACATTGGTGGTGGGAATATATCCATCTCCTATAGAAAGTATGGAAATGATCTGCCATATTGCTTAGCAATCCACTTGTAGTTATCTAAAAAATATAGAAACACTAATTTGAAACTTACATTCCCATGCTTATTGTATGTAGCATAATTTACAATGGCCAAGTTATGGAAACAACCTAAGTACCCAAAAATGAGTAGATGAAGATGCGGTATATATACACAGTTGATAATACTCAGTGAGATACTCATGCCATTTGCAGCAACATGGATGGAATTGGAAGGGATTATGCTAAGTGAAATAAGCCAGGAGAAAAGATAAATACCAAATGGTCTCACTAAACATGTGGAATATTAAGAAACCAAACAAAGGGGGCAGAGACAAACTTTAAAATCAACCCGTGAAATATAGCCATAGAAATGAGATATCCAGGGGAAGGATGAGAACAGGATTAGGGACACAGCACAATGGGCTATGTGTGAGTGGTGAGCACACTTCAGTGACTATAACTAAGGGGTGAAATCCTATAGTTCCAAAATACTAATAAGAATGTAAACCAATGGTACTTCATTTTTTAAAAATTCAGTAAGAGTAATTACAAGCTAATACAAATCAATACAAAATTCAAGATATTGCATGAATTTGTATGTCACATATAACTTTAGAGGCTCTAAACTTTTAACTTAGTGGTGGGGATGGGAGGTGGGGAAGCAGCAAAAGAAATCTTGTACAAACCCATGCTGAAGATGTTTAAGGACAGACAGCTAAATATAACATTAGTATAATCTAAAATATGGTTAGTTTTCCTAAAAACAGCTTGTGTAATTGTAATTTTAATTAAATAAAATTGCTATTTCAAATTAGAACTAATGGTTCAAGTATGGATCAATATCTCTCCATCTCATTCTTCTTCTTAATCTGAGAAATGAGCAGTTAGATAGTGAACAGTCTGAGCAGACAGAGAACACTGAAGAGAAAGTATATCCACCTCTGTTCAAGTGTCAAACCATAAGCAACTTGAGCAGCTGATGTAGACATAAGGCACAAATGTTGAAGGCAGGCCACCTGACTGTGCACAGAACCAACCCTCTCCCCCCCCACCTGCTGTGGAAGCTACAACCCAGGAGACACCACAATATCACCACACTCTAGACAGGGCCCATGGAACCTGGAAAGCCTTTTCCATCAGAGGGAGAGTTCCAAATGCTGTTAGTTTGGTTAGAAAGAGCACTAGGAAGAAAACCCTTATAAGAATATATGCTGCAACACTTGACAACAAAAATTGATGGCACATGTCCATCAACAGGGGAATGGCTAAAGAAACTAGGATATATCTATAGTCTATCATGCTTAAGGCTGCTAAAAACATGGATCTAGACTACTGTTACAGAAAGACCCAAGACCCATATAGTTTAAAAAAAATCTGGAGGTTCTCTCCAAACTGGCAACAAGCATTATCTCTGGAACTGAAAGGTAGAATCAGCGGTAACCTTAAATTATAGATAGGCAGTCACATTTAGAGCAGGAGAGGATGAGAGGAAGGAGGGAAGAGCCAGTATTTCCAGGTTCTGACTTCCAGGGTCCCACTTCCACCCCGGGGGCTGACTTGGGACTAGCTACTGCAGCAGTAGCTCCTCTGATGCATCAGATGACCTCAGAGGTCTCATTAACCCTCACACCCCATGACTGCATGGGGGCTGAGATCCATCCATGTTCTCAGCTGCTAGACTGGAGCCACGGACATCATTAGTAAGAGAAAGAGCTGACTGTCCTCAGGCAGAGACATCTAAGCACCTCCTCCAGGCATGACCTCATCAAATATGGGATGTTAAAGTACTTTGTTTTTCCACGAAACTGGAGAGTTGATACAAAATTTGAAACTGAAGTGAACAATTTGGATTAGAGAGAATACAATGACATATCCTAGGCTATAAAAAAAGATGATAAAGACCCAAAAGATAAACTATAGATCTGATTCTTAAGAGTATGGATTTTAGCCTAGTTCTCTCAGCAATTATGTAGTGCTATTGTTATGCATCTCTTTTTAAAATTTCTATTACATAATGGTACTTTTTTTTAAAAGACTGAAAAAAGTCTACCACAATTCAAAACTGGAAATAAAGATTACTACTGGTGAGTAATAAACTTAAGGGCAGAGTGCACACACATACTCCTACCAATGTCTAACTCTACTATGTCATCCCTACTCTGTCAGCTAGCTCTTCTCTCGCCTACTGGTAACTACCTGATAGAGCACACAGACATATTCTTGTCTCCTACCACAAAAAAAAAATTTTTAAATAAACCTTTCTTCTTTCTTATTAACCAAACTTGTTAAAAATGTTGCCTACATTCACTCTACAACCTACTTGATTCTGACTTTTGACCTGATTCCTATATTTGGCCTGTTTTGGTCAAGGGTGAAAGCTTTTTTGGCTCTGTGGAGTTGAATTCACTGGTGAGATCTCTCTCTAATCTTTCTTGGTCTACCAGTAGCATTTGACCTGACTGCTATTCCCTCTTTGAAACATTTTTCTTGGCTTCCATTTCAGATACAAATGTGTATTTATCCATATCCAACTCTCTGACCCTTTCTGTCCTGTTAACAAAAGCAACCTTTCACAAGAAGCTGAAAAAATCGGAAACCTATTTTCCCAGTCCCCTTCCAGCTAGAACACAAGTGTACAAACATGACCTACAGTTTAATGGGTGTAGAGAAGTCTCTGAAGGGGGAGGGAAACTCCTCCTACACAATTAAGCCATACTTATCAAAGGTTGCCATATCACATGTGAGAAGTGCATGGGATTTTATGAGTAGTTGAGCAAACCTCACAGATCAACTGCAACAAGCAGATACAGTGAGCCTAAGAGATGTAACAGGAAGTACCATCTATCGTTAGGCATGCCAATAAATATAAAGCGTGGAATTGATCAAACCTCTAAGATCTAACTACCCATGATTTCAGTTTACAGGAAATACAAGTTAAAATCTAAGAGACAAATCACCCAAATAAAATGCAAGTATCCTGTTTAGATTTTTTTTAATGGTTAAAAACAAATGAAAATCTGAGAAATTCGAGCATCAACTGAATTATCTGGCATATTAAGGAGTTTAGATCATTGAGAGCCTTTGGTGTGACACTGGTATTTTGGCTAGGCATTTTAAAGATATCACTGTTTTCAAGATTTGCTTCAAAGCACTGAGGAAGTAGAGATGAAAACTAGGAGCTAGTAACCGTTGAAGCTGGGTGCTATGCAGAAGGAGCTTATTACTATTTTCCAAACTTTCATACTGTTTCCTATTAAGAAACTCAGATAGAGACTGAACAGGGAGCCAGGAGCACATCATCAGAAATGAGGGAAGGACCGACCAGTAATCAAATGAATGAGAACAAATGGAAGTTTTATAGGAAGAGGGGGAAGTCTGGAATGACAATGAAACAAAGAGGACCACTTCTCCACCCCAGGTCAGGGCATAAGGGCTGTGGGAGAGCCAAGACCCCACAGACAACAGTGCCAATTACAAAGAGGTTTCAGAGAGGTAGGGTATCAACATATGAAAGGCATGGAGGCTATCTGCACTCCTCAGTGATAGGTGGGCATTGCTGGCACCCTTCTCATTTATTAGCATCCAGTCCCAGGTGTTGGCCCTTCTACTCCCATGGCACTCTCCAGGCTTCCACAGTGCCAGGTGAGGTCTCTTTTCTAAACCATGACATCTCACATACCCTCCCAATCAACTCTCTGCCTTTCATGTTCCTATCCCAGCTGTCTAAACCTGAATGTGCCTCTTCCATTCTGCCTCCAACATTAGGCATGACCATGCAATTTTCCCTGCTAAATCCCTTCCAGCCCTGCCCAGTCCTGCCCTCGTCCAGTTCAGATGCCATGTCTCACCTGCTTTATCCCATAGCATAGTCTGAGTTGATTATGCACAGACTATTCTCTTGCCCTGCCCTTTCTGCTTAATTCTTGCTCCACCAATCAGGTCTCTACTTCCAGACCTAACTGAATGGAGGTTGAGACTTCATGACATTAACAAGGTAGAAAGCAGACATACACATTCTTTAAAACTATACTTCAAATAGATTATAAACGCTGAAAGTAAATTAGCAGTAATAATTTGCATGCTCGACAATACAGAGTATGGAATAGTTTTACTTGAATTGGTTCACTTTCTCCTAAACTACTTACTAGAGGACTCTAACAGAATCTGAGTTACTAGAGAAACTATGTCATGTCTAATCTAGAACTGTAAAAAAAAAAAAAAAAAAAAAAAACTCATTAAATGTAAAATATAGCTTATATACTTACTAGTCCAATTTTATACTTGTTTCATTTCAATCATTCTTTTTGGTAAACTAGAAATGTAAAAGGCAAGCCCAGCAACTTTTAAGGCTCAAAAATCAAGCTTTATTATCAAAATATGAATAAAAACAGAAAACTTAGCATCTGACAAAAGTTACAATTTTGCAGACTTGGACTTCATCAAAAAACTGTTTCGTATGCCACCTCTCAAAGGCAAATCATTTTTCAGGCTATTTCTCTGAACTTTAAAATACTCAACCTTTAATACAAATCACAAAACCCTAGGCATAACCACAGATTTAGTCTCAAGACCACAGCCCTTTGGGTGGAGTCTAAAACATGTGCAACAGCTAATCACTGAGTCACCAGAAAAGTAGTTTTCAAAACATCTCACTGAAAATGCATTTCAGCTGAGTAGCTCATAAAGCCATTGTATAATGTAAAGCTTATAATTTTCACCTTGAAAATATAACATTTAGTTGCAAGAACCAGAAGCTCCCATTAATTCAATGGCATTCAAGAAATGAAAGGGCACCACAAGGACAGCACATGCACGCATGCTCACCTGAGTGCATATGTGTAGCCAGTGTTCTCAGGTACACACTGAGGAGGCGTATACATATGGAGCCGAGAAAAGTCCATGTTCGCGATCTCAAATCATACTGCAGAAAGTGGGGAGAAAGCAATGCAGGGTGTTAAAGGGTCGGAAACACAGAGAAGTATGTCTGTTGTGGTCAGCCTATGTTACACTACTCAACCTGAAAAAGTCGATACTTTAATACAACAATACTAGTGGAAATCCTTGTTTTTATTTTTTAAAAGAAGGAGACAAGTTTTCCTAAAGCTGTAAATCAAGGAATACTTATGTTATCTTTAGTTCCCTAAAATAGTGTGCTCATGAGATCAGTAAGAAATCCTGGATCAATGACCTTATAATTATGAAAATTGGGGCATTTTCAAAAGAAAGTAACCCAGAACCTTTTTTCCTCAAATGTATTTTTAAATTCCTGAAGGTGTTAAAATGTTCTCAACCTTCTGAAATAAGTTTTGACTGTTACTAACTGAACAAAACTAATTCCGATTCCACAGTCAAGAACACTAAAACTCTCCTAAAGAGTTCACGTTTTCAGAAGTACCTCAAAATCAGAACACTGCAGTGTGAACTGTATGCATTGTTTATACTTCTGTTTTTCCCTAAAAGAAAACACAGGTTACTTTTAAAGTAAAAGGTGTAAGCATATTGTTTTTCAGACTGTCCTCTAGACTTCTTTGGACTGACTCAATCTTAACTCACACTCACACTCAAAAAAACTACCAAAAACAAACAAAAAACCAAGCAACAAACACACAGAAGTAATGTGAAACATAATGGGTTGTTTAAAATATCCAAAGAAGATAATAATAAAGACCATCCTGGACAAAACATGTTTATGTATAAGTGATTGATTTCTATAAGCTAAACCAAAGGTACCTCACTTCACATCATCTTTGAAATAACCTAAATATTCTTTTAAATATTAAAGGTTTACTTTCTATAAAAATTTTATTGTGCCTACTAATTTCAACAAACACCACAAAACTCCTGCACTTTAAAACACATTTTAATACTCCTCAGTTCTTTTTAAGCACTTAGGACACTGACCCAACTGGCACAATCTTTGCTATGTGACATCCTATTAACATACACGGAAGCCTCTTTTTGCAAATAAAGTTAACTTTGACTATTTTAATCCATGTATTTATCTAAAATACCTTTTTAATTGCCTCAATCTCCTTTTTGTCTACTCTAACCAACTTAGGTTCAGCAACACAGGGGTGGAGGGCAAAAAAGTAAAGACAAGAGCTTCAGCAGCCCACGCTGGCAATGCAGCCCCATTTTCTGGCCACAGACACTCTCTTCTCTCAGGGCTCTTCCACCCCATCAGAAGTACAGCCTCCCTCACTCCAGAGCTGCGGAACTAGAGCCACACCCCAGCAGCAGGGTAATAATGGTTCTGACCACAGTTGTTTTGTAATCACTTACTAGGCAACCATAAATACTGTGCTGAGAAACAATACTCCATTCACTGTCATCATTCTTCAGAGTAAGTAAAGTTTTTTACTCCCTATTAATGACTGACAAAACAACCTTCCTCACCTCATTCCCAAAGTGATCTTTCATGTTAATATTTTGCAATTCAGTACCTGTATTACCGACCATGCTTAAATTCCTGGCTAAAACTGTTATAATCACTGCTAACAAGTTTCTGTCCACTTTTTCACAACTGTCGACTTCTTTCATTAGTTTACTCATTCTTGAGGTTTGTAGAACACAAATAGAAATTTATGTTATAAATGGTAGATGCCCTGAGGCCAAGCGCTTAATTTGAAAACCATGACCATGAGATGGGAACACGAAAGCATCCAGTAAGGGAACAGGGGCCTACAGGTTTGGGCTCAAGTCCCTGCTCCACAGACCAGCTCACTGCCCCAAGGCGAGAGCCCAATGCAGGAGGCTGCAGTCTATGAAGTGCAGACAGGAGAGGCTGTGGTGGCGCTACCCAACAGCCAGCGACAGGATTAGGCGAGCTGCCCGTGACTCAGCAAACAGCAATTTCAGATTCCAGGGGACTTATGCAAGAATACACACTTACAGCCTTTTATTTTAAGAAGTCACATTAAAAATGGTCTCAAAATTTGATCCACCGGGAAAAAAAGTGGTTCCTTTCTACTGCATAACAGTGTTTTTAAAAGTTACCAGGAGTGCGGGGGAAATGCACTGGACTATGGTGATGGCACTCGGGTAATCTGGTGGTGGGAAGCCCACAGCGATTACAACTGAGATAGAAAAAAGCACAAAATGATGTAAAAGTAAAAATAACTATTATATTATTAAAAAAAAGTTATCAGAAGTGCAAGACAAGTTCACTTTCAACCTGGTCCTTCCAATCATTGAGACAAACCACCTCTCACAAGGTTTAAGGTAGGCATTATGACAATTAAGGAGAAATTAACTTCTCTCTAAATTAAAATTCTATTAAAGAACTAGGTGTAGAAACTGCCCTATCACCAGCATGACAAGACTACCAGTGACTGGGTAAAAAAAAAAACTTAAAGGTTAACAATAGAGAGATACAAGCTGACATAGTGGTAGCATTTTGTTAAAATGCTTAGGGGCCCTCCCTGGTGGCGCAGCAGGTTAAAGCACTAAGCACTAAGAAACTGCAGGTTAAAGCACTAAGCACTAAGAAGCTGAAGCCACTTCTGTATGAGTTCCATCCCAGCCCTGCAGGTGATCCATAGGGCCAGGCAGACCTCTCCTGAAACACCCACTGCTCCCCTCCAGCAATGCACCTCTTCAGTCTGCCTGTACTCTGTCTCTGGTGAATCCTCTCACTGCCCCTGCACCTCTGGCCTATACTCCAGTTCTGTATGAATAAATAAATACGTCTTTTTTTTTATGCTTAATAAAGGTGCTACAAATATAACGAAATGCCCCAAAACATCATCATTGAGAGAACATCAAGAGTAGATGTGCACTAGACTAGGGAGAGGGCAGTAAGGTCGAGCAGAGAGGCTGACAGTGGAGATGGAAGACTGAGTCCAGGGCAACAATGACTATAAAGAAAGGGTATGGCACTGCACTTCCAGATTTTCCCATTCATTCTGGCTTCGCTCCTAAAATCGCATAAACTGTAGTTTATGTCCTCCAGAGAAGTGTATTTAAGTATAAAAACAACATGCACTGTCTGGCCTAACTTCATCAGAACCCTGGCCTACTGAAATGTTGTAGCCATTACTGCACAGCCCCCAAAGAGGCATCTCCCTAGAGAAGGGCAGAAGGGCCAGAAGCATGTGAAGCAGCACTTCAAAAGAGAGAATCAGAGGCTGTGACAAGCTCCACTTAGCATTTCAAAGAGAGAAGAAGTCATTAGTGTACTTCTGGGTTTATTGCAGCACTGATATAGGATGTGGCGGTGGATATTACTGGAATTTATTTTACTTCTCTTTGTACCTGGGTCTTTCTCTCCTTGGACCTACCTCATTTTTTCCCTCTCTTGTTCTCCCTTAACAGAACATGACAAAGATTTAGAACACTTTTAATCTTTAGTTTCTTTTATGAAATGTAAGCATTAAAATTATAGGATAGGCACGCCCCGGTGGTGCAACGGGTAAAGATGCAGCACTGCAAACTAGCCACAGACACTTCAGTGCAAGTTCGATCCCTGGCCCCGGAGGTGACCCACACAGCGTGCCAGACTTCTTCTCCTGACCCGGCCGCTGCTCCCCTCAGCAGTGTACCTTGTCAGTCAGCCTGTTCTGTCTGCTCCCCACTCTGTCTCTGGTGAATCTTCTTGCCACCCCTGCACCTCTGGCCTGTACCCCATTTCTGTATGCATAATCTTTTTTTAAAAATTATAGGATACAAAATCATTTTTAAAAAGGATTAAATGAGGCCCTCCCTGGTGGCTCAGCGGGTTAAAGCACAGCACTAAGAAGCTTAAGCCACTTCCACATGAGTTCGATCCCTGCCTGCCCCGGAGGAGAGCCATATGTCGTGGCAGACCTCTCCTGCCCGTCCGCTGCTCCCCTCAGCAGTGTACTTTGTTGATCTGCCTGTTCTGCTCCCCACTCTGTCTCTGGTGAATCCTCTCACCCTCCGCATCTCTGGCCTGTATACCCCAGTTCTGTATGAATAAATAAATAAATCTTAAAAAAAGGGTTAAATGAAATAATGCATGAAAGACTGTGTCTAATGCATAATAAGCACTCAAATGTTAATTACTTCGTGAAGTTATTTAACAAGTTTTAAATTAAAAAAAAAAAAAGATTTATTTTTCTTCTGACGTAGCATAACAATTCCTGAAATTGAAGGCTCACTGTCCACTGGCTAAATGTGGAGCTTTTCTAACAGTGCCCTAGTTAGAGCAGAGTTCCAGGCCCTCAGTGGCCTATCAACAAAAATTACAAGAGTCATACTCTACTACTGATAACTAACCATAGTGCTCAGCATTTTCAAAATGCTATTGCTACACTTCCTTTTCATAACTGCTCCCTTTTCATGACTGCTACTGCCCACCCTATGAGATTAGAACCTTGCAACTGACACCTGTCCTAGAAGTGGTTAGCTTCACTGGTCTCAAATTGAGGCTCAAAAGAGATCTGATTTGTTTTTACAATCTGTCAGGTTTTGAAATAGCAAGTGGAAAAAATGGATTGAAAACATTTTGTAGTGGCATCAGAAAAGTGAACATCTTGCAAATAGTAGTGTTACAAAAGGGGCAGCCTGTCCACATTTTACTGCCCTCCTCTTTCTTAAGTATCCTACAAGTGTTATGACTGGTAAAACATAGCCATGGGCCAATTCTTAGGGAGTGCCCCCTTGGAGTGTAGAAGTCTGACTGTACCAGACTAGAAGCTAAAGAAGAAGCTGTGCTCACAAAGGGCCAGATTCCAGACCAGTACCCGAACGCTGGCCATCAACCCAGCAGATGAGAGCACTGGGATGAGCATGGGAATACCTCCTCCGCTCCACATGAAAGAATCATTCCTTCTAAAATTAAAATTCTGAGGTGTTACATTTAAAATTAATACCAAATTTTAGCATGACTGTTTTGATCATATCTTAAACTTGTTAAAATTAAATATAGAAACTAATAAAAACATCAGTTATTTTTGCCTA